CCCCAAATTCTCAACTCTCAGGCCAATCTCCTGTCACATAACAACCCAATAGGTCTATGTATGTAGGAGCCAAACACCTGGCCAGTGTGAGGCTGTGGAAGAGCTTTCTTCCATACTCACATCAGTCAAGGGGAGAGAAAATCCTCTTTGCAAACCTGAACCCAAAACTCCCACTGTAGACAGTACACTGTCACAGAAGAGGAAAGCTGGCATGTAACTAATTCACATCAAAGGAAAGTACAATCACATACAACTACAGAAATCTACTCTGAAGCAGAAGCTTCAATATATCACCAGATGACTGAAAAATTGCAGCATAGTCTCATGAAATATGAGAAATTCATTATATACTTTCTCTCCGAGGGAACAAAAGAACTCATCTCCAGTGATGGAAAAAGCAGAGAAAATCACCAAAATGTCAGAAATAAAATTCAGAGCATTTATCATACCTCAACTCAATGAAATGCCAGAGAAAAAAGACACCCAACTCCAGAAGATGAGAAAATCATTTCACGACTTAAAGGAGAGACTCCATAATGAGACAGACTCCTTAAAAAAGAATCACACAGAGCTTTTAGAGATGAAGACTATAATATAAAAAATCAAAACCTCTCTTGAGAGTATTAACAGCAGATTAGACTACACAGAAGATAGGATCTCTGATTTGAAAGACAAAATCTCTGACTTAGACAAAAACCACCAAAAGAATGAAAAAATAACTCAAAAAAATATGAGGATAACAAAAACCCTCTATTTGCTGCCTGCATGAAATGCACCTCATAGACTAAAAGTGAAGGGCTGGAAAAAGATATTCCACACAAATAGAAATTTAAAAAAAGACTGGAGTTGCAATACTGATATCAGACAAAATAGGCTTTAAGGCAAAAACTGTAAGAAGAGAAAAAGAAGGATGTTATATAGTACTAAAAGGGCTAACTACCAAGAAGATATAACATTTATAAATATTTAGGCACTCAACTTGAGAGTACCCAAATACATTTAAAAAAGACTGCTAGAACTAAAGGGGGAGATAGATGACAACACACTAATTGTTGGGGACTTCAGCATCTCATTATCTCCTTTGGACAGATCATTGACATACAAATTAAGCAAAGAGACACAGGATCTAAACAATACCATAAATCAAATGGACTTGACAGACATCTATAGATCTTTCCACCCAACCACCACAAAATACACATTTTTCTCACCCCTGCATGACAACCTTTTCAAAAATTGGTCACACGATAGGGTACAAAACAAGCCTATACAAATTAAAGGGCACAGAAATGATGTCCAGGATCTTCTATGACTATGATGGAATTAAATTTGAAATTAACTTCATAAAAAGCCCTCAAAAATACGCAAACATATAGAAACTAAACAACCGACTCTTGAATGACTTCATAATCATAAGCAAAATTAAGACCGAAATCAAAATACTCATTGAAACCAATGATAACAAGTACATGAGTTTCCATAACCTATGAGACACAGCAAAAGCACTAATAAGAGAGAAGTTCACAGCAATAAATACACACAAGAAAAAGATGAAAAGGTGGCAAACAGACAACCTAACAATACACCTCAGGGAGCTGAAAAAATATCACCAACAAAATAACAACAATAACAAAATACTAGGAGAAAAGAAATAATAAAGCTCTGCGCAGAAATAAATAAAATAGAGAATAAAAGAACATTAAAGAAAATAAATAAGCGGGTTCTTTGAGAAGATAAACAAAACGGACACATTGTTAGCTAGAGTAAATTAAGAATAAGAGAGGAAGGAACTAGACAAACCAAATCAGCAATGAAACAGGCAATATTACAACAGACATAACAGAAATACAAAACATCATTAGAGAATACTATGAGTTACTATCCACCAACAAACAAGAAAACCTGGACGAGATGGACAAATTCTTGGATACATATAAACTACCAAGATTGAATCAGGAAGACATAGGAAGCCTGAATAGACCAAAACAACCAATGAGATTGAATCAGTAATAAATAGTGTCCCAACAAAGAAAAGCCCAGGTCCCAATGTCTTGACTTCTGAAATCTACACAACTTTAAAAGAAGAGCTAACTCTGTTCTACTCAAACTAGTTCTAAAGATCCAAAGGGAAAGAACCCTCCCAAAATCATTTTATGAAGCCCCCATCACCCTCATCCCCCAAACAGACAAGTACAAAACAACCCAGAAGCACGCACAACTGAAAGGTCTCTTGAGAAATGTCCATACAGACCCACCATTGAGAGTCAAGGTGTTACAAAAATTCTCAACAATATATTAGCAAATTATATCCAATGACACATGAGAAAGATTATATACTACACAACCAGTTTTATCCCAGGGATGGAAGAGTGATTCAACATACACAAAACAGTAAGAGTAATACAGTACATTAACAGAAAAGATAAAAAAAAAAATATGATCATATCAATCAATGCAGAAAAGGCATTTGATAAAATACAACATCCTTTCATGATTAAGACTCTTGGCAAAATCAGCATAGAAGAGAGATTTTTCAACACAATAAAAGCCATATATGAAAAAACCATAGCTAACATCATACTGAATAAGGACAAAAACTGAAAGCTTTACCACTAAAAACTGGAATAAGACAAGGTTTCCCACTCGCTCCACTCTTTTTCCATACAGTGCTAGCTAATGCAATCAGATAAGAGAATAAAATAAAAGGCATTCAAAGAGGGCAAGAAGTGAAATTATCTCTATTTGAAGATGACATGATTATGTACATAGAAAACCCATTCACAAAAAAATCCTCTTGAAAGTAATAAATGAATACAGTAAAGTGGCAAGGATACAAAAGCAACATACAAGAAACTATATAGCATTTCTATACATCAACAACAAGCAGACTGAGGTAGAATTGAAGAAAGGAATCCCATTTACAATAACCACAAAAAGTATAAGATACCTAAGTATAAATCTAGCCAATAAGCCAAAGACCTCTAGAAAAAAACTATCTAAAAAAAAAGAAAGAAAAAATTGAAAATGACATGAAAAAAGTGGAAAGATATCCCATGTTCCTAGATTGAAAGAATTAATAAAATCAGAATATTAATTCTTCCCAAATTAATCTACATATTTAATGCAATCCCAAAGTACCTGGGATATTCTTCACAGATTTAGAAAAAAACAATCACAGAATTTGTGTGTAACCATAGAAGACCCTAAAATGTCAAAGCAATACTGTGCAAGAAGAGTGGAGTAGGAGGCATCTCAGTTTCCAACCCCAATATATATTACAAAGCTGTGATGATTAAAACTGCATAGTACTGGTACCAAAACAGGCATGCAGACCAATGGAATAAAATAGAGATCCCAGAAATAAACCCCAAAACATACAACCAATTGATTTTTGACAAATGACACCAGACAGTCCAGTGGGGAAAAGAGTATCTTGTTAGCAAATGGTGCCAGAAAAACTGGGTATTCACCTGCAGGATGCAACTGGACCCCTATCTCTCACCATTAACCAAAATCAACTCAAAATGGATCAAAGATCTAAACCTAAGACTTCAAACCATAAAACTACTGGTGGATAACACAGGGAAAACTCTTGGAAACATCAGAGTAGGAAAAGACTTCTTAAATAAGATCCTTGAAACATAGGCAATAACCCCAAAAATAGACAAGTGGGATTACATCAGGTTAAAAAGCTTCTGTGCTGCAAAAGAAACAGTAATTAGAGTAGAGAGACAACCCTCAGAATGGGGGAAAGCATTTTCAAACTCTCTCTTGAATAAGAGGCTGAAAACCAAAATACACAGGTGTGCAAGCAGTTTACCTTAAAAAAATCCAATTAAAAGATGGGTAAATGAGCTGAACAGACAACTCTCTAAGGAAGACATACAAACAGCCAGAAAGCATGTGAAAAAATGCTCAACATACCTCATCATAAGGGCAATGCAAATCGAAACCATAATGAGATTCCACTTAATCTCAGTCAGAATGGCTTAGATTAAAAAAAAAAAAAAAAAAAAAAAAAACATGGGACCAGCGTAGCGGGAAAGGCTTCATCCAGGGACCAGCAGTTAGCGTAATGGCTATGTCACTGGACGCCCATGTAGTCGACCGCGGTTCGTGTCCCGGACCTGGTGGCTTAAAATTCACACTGGGCACGTGTGTTTGCATGCCCAAGATCCCGGGAGGAGAAGGGATTGTGGCATGGCCACCCCCCCTGGGGGGGGTGATTTCTCACTTTCTGTCTCTCTGTCTCTGTCTGTCTGTCTGGTGAGCGCATGTGCCCTATAGCAAAAACCTCTCCAAAAAAAAAAAAAAAACATGATAAATGCTGGTGAAAAGGAAACTCCCCCTATACTACTGGTAAGAATGTACATTAGTACCCAATGTGAATAACAATAGGGAGGTTCCTCAAAGACCTACCAAGAGAACTAACATATGATCTAGCAATTCTATTCCTGGGTGTCTCTGGAAGGAGAGGAATACACTCAGTTTGAAAAATGCACATTTGTGTGTGCATGACCAAAATCCCAAGAGGAGACTGAAGAAAGGACTGTGGCATTGCCATCTCCCCTAGGGGGTGATTTCTCACTTTTTGCCTCTCTGTGTCTCCGGTGAGTGCATGCACCCTGTAGCAAAAATCTCTCTAGAAAATACAAAGAAAATCCATGCTGTGCCCCCAAAAGATGTGCAACAATTAAATGTAAATAAGAAATTATAAAATAGGAAAAAAAATATGAGGTGATGACTGATCAAGAGAAAAGAGAAAACAGCAAGTACTCTGGTAAGAAACAGAACATCAGTAAATGGTGCTATCTCAGTCCTTGAATATGGAGGAAACAAGACAAGAGACCTGACAGAGTTAATGTCCAGCCTCTGAAGTCCTGGGTGCTCTCCTCTTATCCCAGTCTCTTTGTGACTCACATCCAGTAGCATACCAACCATGAGAGTTGGAAGAGACTGGAATACAACAATAAACAACCCTAACTTTGCTTAGCTCCAAAGAAGTAGACCTCGAAAAAGTTAAAGTACCATATTCACTGATTTATATTTATATCTCCATGTGTACTTGCAGTAAGAAAATGAGACTGACTTGAAAAAAACAAAATCCAAATTCTGAAAGCCTTCTCAAATCGCTCCACAAAGCTGAGCTGTGGTTAAGGTTGTTTATTTTTTAGATCCTGGAGGGTTACTTTAATCTTCTAAAGTATCTGTATTGAGAGTACTGGTCCAGGCGACCAGATCTTCTACTTCCTCTTCCCACGGCTCATATGAGTCATTTTCATATAGTGAATCTCCATTCTTCCACCTCTCTGTTTCATAAATCTTTGGGACAATATCTATTCCAGGTTGTGACTCAGAAGAAACTTCATCTATGGTGGAAAACATGAAAAACAGAAATTTACTAGGCCTAACAGGGAAAACAATGAAAAGAGGAATATTCCTGCATTTGTAGCATAATGCCAAGATCATGAGTGAACACCAGCAACTTTTTTATACTTTCTAAATTTCATATTTTACAACTAACTCTGTTTGTCATAAATCAGTGTATGTTGCTCAACATTTATAAAGCTTTGTTAGTTCATTCATTGAACTATATGAGAGAATCTTCACAAATTTCATGGAAAATGTGTATTATGAAAACACAAGGCCAGGTGGGGTGTGGTGGTTAAGGCAGCTGGATCCCACATGGCTGACTGCAGTTTTGAGTTTCAGACCTGGTGACTTGAAAAATACATGTACATGCATGCCCCAAATCCCAAGATGAGAATGAAGGAGAAGGGATTGTGGCATGACCAACCGTACTGCCCACCCACCCCCCCAACCTGGGGGTGCTTTCTCTTCCCCCTCCCATCTCTAACAAGTGCACATACCCTATAACAAAATTGCCAAAAAAGGGAGAAAACACTATGCATGGATTTAAAAACTTTTTGCATTGAAATAAACTCACAAACTTGTTATGACATGTCCAAACAGTATTGAGTTCACGGTACTAAGAATAATAAGACATTTGTTTGAAAACCCCTATTAGAGAGACCAACAGATAGAGTAATGGCTATGTCACTGGACTCCCATGTAGTCGACTATGGTTCAAGTCCCAGACCCAGTGGCTTAAACTCACACTAGGCACATGCGTGTATGTACCCAAGATCCTGAGAGAAGAGTGGAGGAGAAGGGATTGTGGTGTGGCCATGCATCCTTGGGAGTGATTTCTCACTTTCTGTCTCTGTCTTTCTGGTGAGCGCACATGCCCTATAGCAAAAACCTCTCCAAAAAAAAACCAAAAAAAAAAAAAAAGAAAACCCCTATTAGAACAACATAAATTCGGACAAAACTGAAGTGAAAACAAACATCAAATTTATGATGAAGACTGAGTGGAAGAATGATGAAATCATTAATGCGTTACAAAACATTTATAGGGACAATGTCCCAAAGATATCAGCAGTTTACAAATGGATAAATCAATTTAAGAAGGGAACAATGTTGACTATGATGCCTACAGCAGCAAAACAGCCATATCAATTTATAGGGAAAAATTAATCTTGTTCATGCCCAAAATGAAGAGGTTCAATTATAAACAGTAGAAGCAATGGCCAACACCATAGACATGTCAATTGGTTCAGCCTGCACAATTCTGACTGAAAAATTAACTGAGCAAACTTTCTGCTCAGTGGATAACAAAAATGTTGTGCCCAGATCAGCTGCAGAGGTTTTGATGGAAATATTAAACACATTTAAAATGAAAACAAAATCAATAAAATACCTCACAATCAAGACCCTGAGGTATTTCTTTCTTTGAAGAATTGTATACGGCTTTACCTGTATGATCCTGGACACAAAATGCAATCAAAGCAATGGCTACCAAGACGTGGAAGTGGCCTAGTCATAGCAAACCAGATCAGTCAAGAGCAAAGGTCATGGTCACAGTTACTTGGGATGCTGAAGGCATTTTACTTTTTATCTTTCTACAAGGCCAAAGAACCTTATAAGATCTTCTTCTTATAAGAGTGCTTTGAGAAATTGAGCTGAACCTTTAGCAGAAACACACCCGAGAAAGCTTTACCAGAGTCCTATTCCACCATGATGATGCTCCTACTCATTCTTCTCATCAAACAGGGAAACTCTGCGAGAGTTTTGATGGGAAATCACTGGGCATCATGCTACAGTCCTAATTTGGTTCCTTTTGATTTCTTTTTTGCCTCCGATCTTAAAAAATTGTTAAAACACACTCAATTTTCTTCAGTTAATATAAAAAAGACTGAATATGATTATATTCCCAGGACCCTTGGTTCCTTAGAAATGAACTAAATGGGTGGTATAATTGCTTACGAAAGTGTCTTAAATTTGATGAAGTTTTTTTGGTTTGTTTTTGCTTTGTCTTTTTAAAGATTTTTGCTACAGGGCATGTGTACTTGCTTGAGAGAGACAGAGAGAGAGAGAAATTACCTCCTGGGTGGAATGGCCTCACTGTAATTTCTTCTCCTCCATTCGCCTCTTGGGATTTTGGGCACACATGTGCAATGTCCTGTGTGATTTTCAAGCTTCTGGATCCAGGACTCGAGCCACTGAGTGGCCGGACCCGGGCCGGGAGCCACTGAGTGGCCACGTAAGATCCAGCACCCTAACCTCCATGCCACCTGCTAGCCCCCCAATTTTTTTTTCCTTTTTAAAAAAATTTTCAGATCAATTTTGCATTTTACATAAAGTCCCCATCATGATGTATATAGTAGACGTATATATACATATTTTAACAGAAAACTATTTTTTTTCTGTTAAATGTTTCTTCCCTTTGTACTTCACACTCACCCTCTACCACTTGCTACCATCCACTCTCCTCCCTATGGTCGCTAGTATCTATACCTATCCTCTCTACTATTATATCTTTTTTTTCCCTTTTTTTGGAGAGGTTTTTTGCTATAGGGTACATGCGCTTACCAGAAAGACAGACAGAGAGAGAGAGAGAGAGAGAGAAACAGAAAGTGAGAAATCACCCCCCAGAGGGGATGGCCATGCTGCAATCCCTTCTCCATTCTCCTCTTGGGATCTTGGGCACACATGCACACGCGCCCGGCGTGAGTTTAAGCCACCGGGTCTAGGCCTCAAGCCACGGTGGACTACATGGGAGTCCAGCAACATAGCCATTACGCCAACTGCTGGTCCCTCTATTGTTATATCTTCAGATCTCTCAATTTCTGCCACAGAGCGCAGATGTTTGGTACAAACTGAGTAGGAATATACAGTTTGTATCTTTTAAAGTCTGGCTCACATCACACAACATTCAATCAAGCAATAGGGTCTCATTGTTTCCTATAGCTGAGTAATTGACCATAGTATATACGTACCACAGTTTTCAACCCAGTCATTAGGTTTTAGACACTTAGATTGATTCCATGGCTTACCAATTTTATATAATGCTGTAATAAATATGAATGTGCAAGTGTCTTTCCAATAGAATGTTTTCCTATCCTTTGGGTAAATAGTGGGTCTTTGGGAAAGTCATGACACATTTTAGCCTAGAAAAATATGTCACGACTTTCCTGATGACCTGATACCAAGGAGTGGGATTACTGGGTCATATGGTAGTTCTATTGGGAAAGTTTTGAGGAACTTCCATATTATTTTACACAGAGGGTGTACTAACTTAGATTCCCACTAACAGTGTAAGAGGCTTTCCCTTTCACCACAGTCTTGTCAGCATTTGTCATTCTTTTTTTTTTCTTTTTATCTTAGCTGTTCTTTTTTTTTAAGTCTGAAAAAAATTTTTTTAAACTTCATGTTTAAAAAATTTTTATTTGAGCAGAGAGGGACAGAGTGAGAAAGAGAGAGATAGAGTGAGAAAGCAAGCTGCCAGGTCTGGGACTCGAACCATGGCCAGCCTTTAACCAACCTTTAACCAACACACCACCTACTGGCCCCAATGCTAGCAATATTCTAACTGTGGTTAAATGGTATCTCACTGTGGTTTAAATTTGCATTTCCCTTACAAGAAGAGCCTTTGAAAATGTTTTCACATGCTTTTTGGCCAAAGTCTTCTTTGAAGTTTTATTTTTTAAAAATATTATTTAACTTTATTATTATTATTTAATTTGCTGTAGGGCACATGCAATCGTGAGAGAGAGAGAGAAGGAAAGTGACAAAGCAAGCCACCAGGTCCAGGATGCGAACCATGGTTGGCCATGCATATGAAATTCTGGCCTTAACCACCACACCACTTGCCCTGAGTTTATTATTTTTTAAGCTTATTTATTGGGTTATGTAGAAAGTCATGACATATCTTCGCATTAAAAAAATATAAAAATATGTCATGATTTTCCCAATGACCTAATTATTTTATTCATTATAGAAAGTGCATGTGTGCACACATGTGCAGGCAGAGAGAGAGGGAAAAAGCTGCTGTGCTAAGCAATCTGCATGTATAGAATTACTCAACTTAAACACAACTCTCGTAATCGGCAGACAGTATTATCCTTATTTTACAAATGAAAAATTTGGTGCTGAGCAACCTGCTGTAACGTTATCAAGAACATCCTGTGAAAACAAAACTTCCCTCGAATTGTCTGATCAAAAACACATTTTCATACTCATGCGGTTCATGCGGGGGGCTAAAAGGGAGGCTGAGGCCAGATCAAGAAAGCCTTATATGTTATGCAAAGGATTTTCATTTTTAACTTACTGGCCTTGTATACAGGGAAATAAACTGACTATATTTTTTAAAGAACATGGATTTAACACATATATTTCTTTCTTCCTTCTTTCCTTCCTTCCTTCCTTCCTTTCTTCCTTTTTGGAGAGTTTTTTTTTTTGCTTTAGGGCACATGCGTTCACCAGAAAGACAGAGAGAAACAGAGAGACAGAAAGCGAGAAATCACCTCCCTCAATGGGGATGGCCACACCTCAATCCTTTCTCCTTTATTCTCCTCTCAGGATCCTGGGCATGCATGCACATGCACCCGACATGAGTTTAAGTCACCAGGTCCAGGACCCAAACTGCGGTCGACTACATGGGAGTCCAGCAACATAGCCATTACGCCAACTGCTAGTTCCTATAACATGTATATTTCTAAAGCTACATTTTCAATCAGCCTGAGAACTATACTTCCTGGGAATGAAGTTTAGTAGGTGGTATTTGTGTTCTGTTACCTCAATAACTCCACTGCATTCTCCTTTCTGCACGGCTGTCACTGCCTACTAATGACTCCAGTACAAACTCTGTCAGATTCATGTGTTAATTTCTCCCACTTAAATATAAAATGAACCTTGTAATATTTATTGTCTTCTAGTTGTGCTACAGACATGGGATATGAATGACTTATTTTATCTCTTGGGTCTATAAAAAGATGCACTAGAAGAATTTGAGCTTAGACAGTCACCG